CCGCCCCTGTTCATGAGCTCTAAGCCCTATGGGCCCCGCAAACCCAGGGCTCACTGCCTTCCCTGGGCCCCTCGAGGACCCCTGAGTTATAGCTCAAGTGGCTGGGTGGGCATTCCCCTGAGACCATCTCTGACTTTAACTGCTGCTTCCGCTCTGTGCCTCCCCCCTCCTCCACCGCCCTGAAGCCGTGGCCGTGGCATCCGCGCCCGTGGTGCTCAGTGCCGTGGGCTTCACTGGCGCCGGGATCGCAGCCTCCTCCATTGCCGCCAAGATGATGTCAGCTGCAGCCATTGCCAATGGGGGAGGAATTGCCGCGGGCAGCCTGGTAGCCACTCTACAGTCTGTGGGTGAGTGTGCTGGGTAGGGCTGGCTGGGAGGGTGACTGGGAGGTGAGGTGTGGGGAGGCCCAGGGGCAGGGGTCTGTCCTCCACCTCATCCCCAGGACCCTTATCATCCTTCGTCTCTCCTGCCCTGTCCTCCCTCTGTGTAACTTGAAGCGGGAAGCGGCAGTGGAGGAGAGGGTGCTGGCCTGGGCCCTGGGCATTCAGCAGCTCTACCCGAAGCAGATAGGTTGGGTTCTCAGAAACCCTTCTTCCCCACCTGAGCCTGAGCCTCCGCTGTGGAAGGGTGGGGAGCTGCCAGCTCATGGTCTCACCAACCCCACCCCAACTTCAGGCCCTGGGACAAGTTTCAGGAAACGGGGGTGGGTGGGGGGTGGGGTGCTGCCTGGCCGGTGCATGCCCCCATCAAGACCGCCTTCTCTCTCCCACAGGAGCAGTTGGCCTCTCCCTGACAGCTAAAGCCATCCTGGCCTCCACTGGGTGTACCCTTGGGGCCTTGCTGGTGCCTTAGCTCAGGCTCCCTGCCCTCCAACTGCGTCTGCTGGGAAGAGGCCATGAAGTGTGGGGCCTGACCCAGGCAGTGGGCCAACCTGTACCAGAGAAAGCCCCGAGCTTCCGGAGGAAAATAAACATTGGGTTCCAACAACTTCAGCAGTCTTCCTTCCGCTCCGTGGGCTGAGCAGACCTGACGGCGACTGCTCTGGGATTCAGGGACTCGGGCTCACTCTCCAACTTGTCATCACGTGACTGCTCTGGGATTCAGGGACTCGGGCTCACTCTCCAACTTGTCATCACGTGGCCACCTGGGGTGGCCTGGGATGAGACTAAATTTGGAGAAGAGACTGCCCCTGCCCTGCCACAGGGCCGATTGTCATTTGGCAAGCCCGTTCTCACCGGCCCTCCGTTTGCCTCGCTAAACAGGAAACTGACCACCAGGGTCCCAGCCAGAGCACTGTTTTGCTCAGTTCCCTGAAGGATCCAGGGATGGGGATGGGGGTGGGGAAGGGGGCAGGAAAGCACGTTTGAGCCACTTACGTCACAGCTGGAATCCCAGTCATTCCCTTGCACACTCAGTCCGGACACACCCCATGAGAATTCCCAAGTGGCCAGGTCCAGGCCTGGAAAACCCAGGGCCCAGTGTTACTAGCCCAATCCCACAGTCAAAGCCTACTGTCAGTTAGCAGGAGATTTGTCATTTCCAGGGGGCTTTGGCCTTTCTGCTTAGGGGCCCCAATCCCCAAATGTCCACCCTGGCCCCCAAACCAGGTCTTGTAGAAATGTCTGACCTCAGTCCAAAGCATCAGAAAAGTCACATCTACATCGATTCATCCTTCCATCCAGTAAACTCTCTGAGCACCTGCTCCAGGGCAGGCACTGGACTGGGCGCTTGGGAACAGGGCGTATAATGCCTTTTGCCATCGGCTGGCAAATGGCTGGAGGTGCTAACAGAAACACTGTCCTGGGGCTGGCCTGGGCTCTGTAGGGCCCAGAGGAAGACAGGCAACAGCTGGAGGCGGGGCAGGGTTAGCAGCGTTCTGGATTCAAGTGTGTGGTCCCTCAAAGTCTAGCTGATAGTCTAATCTGCAGTAACTGTGGCGATGGCCTTATTTGGAAAGAAGGGGTCCATTAAGCCTGGAGACTCTTGGTGGCTTATATGGTCAAGCCAAAAAGCTGGCAGGTGACTCACGTCACAAGAAAGAGCCAGTCTGCTGTTTCCCCGAAAGTGCCCACCTTGCAAGTGCCACGAGGTCTGTTCAACTCTGCACCCCAGGGACTGCTGGGAGCTGGACTCAGCTTACGGCCCGTGGGTTTCGGGTTGGGTTTCCTGGGTGCACAGGAGGCCACACTGGGGGAGGGTGGGTCCTAATCCAATGAGTGGTGGCCACGTGAAATGAGTGGTGGCCACATCCAATGAGTGGTGGCCACATCCAATGAGTGGTGGCCACATCCATGAGAAGAGAGGGACTCTGTGGTGACAGGTGTAGGCTGCAGCGGGGGAGCTCTGGTGGTGGAGTGAGTTGCCTATTGGATTGCTAATCACAGGGTCATCAGTGCGAAAACAGTAGCCGTTCTGGGGGAGAAAGATGAGGCTTTCTACTTCTGTTAAGAGTTACAGAGTCCCGCTGGTGAAGTGGTTCTGCGATGGGCTGCTAACCACAAGGTCAGCAGTTCCAAACCACTAGCTGCTCTGTGAGAGCAAGACAAGGCTTTCTACTCCCATAAACTGTTTCCACCTCAGAAATTCCCAGGGGCAGTTCTACTCTCAAAATTGATCTATGTATTGTGATGAATTGTATGAGCGCCCCAATAATTTGATTTAAAAAAAAAAGAGTTACAGAAAAATAACAATCTTGGAGACCCACAGGGGCTGGTGGGTGGCTGTAAGTGGACAGGGGCTGGCTGGGGCAGAGGCTGGCTGGTGGGGTTGCTGTAAGTGGAAATCGATTGCCGGGCAGTGAATTTGGTTGGCACACCAAAGAACAGCTGGTTAAGCTCTGCCGCCACCCCGAAATCGGACACCCAACCTGCAGAACTGCAAGACGATGTAGTTCTGTGGCTACAAGGCCACCACTCTGTAGTTCTTTATTAAGGCAACCCTGGAACACGAATAAGAAATCCTGGTGACAAGGGCTGCTAGGTGCAAGGTGACAAGACATGACGTGACTTTCTATTCCCATAGAGTGCCGTGATTTGGCAAACCCATAAAGGCAGTTTTACCCTGTTCTGTAGGGTCGCTATGAGTTGGAATCGACTTGATGGCAGTGAGTTTGGTTTTGGGGGGCACGAATGTAGGAAGCTTGGGTGTATCTCAAGGGTTTTGGAGAAATGAAGGCAGCAGTCCAATCCTAACACTGCTCCTGCCACACACACTGATCCTGGGCTCTATCCATAGCCAGACAGTTTCTCTGCCTGCCGTGAGAAGCAAGTTGTGATAGGTAGGTTTATTGTGCCAACCTGGCCAATAGGAACATGTGGGATTAATCAGGTTGCAGTTTGGTTGGAGGGCACACAGATAAATCACTCTGCAAGGCCCGCCTCCCTCTCTCTTGCACTCTGGTGATCGGACCAGCATGTGGCTGCTTTAGCTAGTTCTCTGCCTCACTCTGTGAGATACCCTACCTGTGGACCAAGCCAACTCATGGATCGTGTGACTAGGGCTTGAGGCTCCTTTGAGATCTGCTTTGCCACGCTGCTGGTGCATGCATCGCTTGAGCTTGAGACTGGTGGATTCTCTTGTCTTGCATGGCTTGCATTCAATATCCCACCTGGGCCTGCTTCCCTAAGCTCCCAAGTTACTGACTGTTGGTGACCCACCCTGCTGTTGACTGCCTGTGGGCAGACTTTGCCTGCCTTGCCCGAGGGAGGACTCAGCTGTCTGCTTCCTCAGCTGTGGTCTGCTTCCTTGACCTTGGACTCAGGAGCCCTTGTGAGTTGAACGACTTCCAGTATATTAACTGTTCCACAGAAGTGAGCTGAACTGAACCCTTTGTACTGCTGTGTGGTCAAATTGTTATATTCCTTTGTGCTGTATAAACCTATCATCTTATATCTCTCTATATAATCATAAGTGTCCTGGGGTTGTTTCTCAAGAGAACCCTGCCTAACACACAAGCGTTGAGCCGAAATGCTCAAAAACCCATTGGTGTCTTAGAATGGTTCTAGCTGGATCAACGAAGCCTGGCTTTCATCCAGTGTCAGCAACCACTTTTAACCTATTCATTCGGGATATCCCTGCTGCTTCCCACCTGAGATAGTTTATTGTGCCAGCCTGGCCGATAAACACAAGTGGGATTAATTGAAGGACAGCGATATATGGCTTGGTGAGCCTCGCCTTTCTTGTCTCTCGCTCTTTGATCATCGGACCAGTGTGCGGCTGCCTTGCTTGTTCTGTGCCTCAATTTAAAGGCTACACTACCTGCGGGATGCCTAGCCTGTGGACTGTGTCGCTGTAAGTTGAGGTCCCTTTAAGAGGTCGCTGGAGCTGGGGACTGGCAGTTGGTGACCTGCCTTGTGATTGGCTGCTGTGCTGACATAGCCTAGCTCTCTCTATAAATAGAGGAAGATCTGGCAGCAGATTAGACTTGAAGGACTGCTAGTCTCTCACAACTCTCTCTCACGGGAGTGAGTTGCATTGAGCCATTTGTAGTACTTTATAATTTAACTGTTCATTTCTTGTATTATACATTTATCTGCATATGATTCCACAGTTCATTTCTTGTTATATATCTAATTATCTTTATAAATAAATATATTAAATTATCAGCAATTTGGTTTTATCTCTCTAGAGAACCCTGTCTAACACACCACCACACTTCCTTGATGCTTTGGAGAGGCTGATGAAAGCCTCCAAATACACACCTAAAATACACACCTGCCTAAGATCAAGCAGGATGTCATTAGAATCTTTATAGGCCTTCTTGTTATCCCAAATGTTGGGTTCCTGCCCAGGAGGGATTGAACCAGTGAGTACCCACTGCAAATGGAAGAGAGACAGATAAAAGGTATTGATTACGAATCTCAGCCAACCAAGGAGCCAACAGCAATAGAAGCTGTTTAGCAGGGACTGAACTATTTCCACAATGGTGTGAGCCATTTATTACAGCCCATATAGCCCAATCTTGGTAAAGCTGGGACAATCCAAGTTTGATTTGGTGCTTAATCAGCCTGCCACGTGGCCCTGCCCCCCATGACCAGGCAGGGTGGAGAACAGACCACTTCCTACTCTGCCCCAGCCCTCACACACCTCCCTAGTACAGAGAGAGGGCCAGCCAACAGGACAGGAACTTTATTTTCCATGTTTCTCTGACCTGAGAGAGGGGTTAGAGGTTTAGCTTTGAGTAGGTTTTCTCTTGGAGAAGTATCTTATTCATCATCTGGTTCTCCTTCACTCAGATCCCCTGCTTCCTCCTCCTTCCGTGGGGGTGGGGGCTTCTTTTTTGAACGTCCCATGTAGGCCCCCACAGCTGACCCAGCAGTGCCCAGGAGGATGTTGGAGGATGTGGAGAGTCCAGCTGCCCCTGGGGAAGAGACAGAGGGTGAACACAGGGTGTAGGCCTCTCTTCCACATCCTGGGTGTGGGGTCTAAGGCTTAGGGGATCATGTCAGCTAGACACTCCAGGGGCAGAGCTCCACCTATGATTGTGGTGTCCTAATCCGTTTAGTATGAGAGAAAGAGAGAGAGAGAGAGAGAAACTGAAGGCAGTTGGCTCCTCTTGGGCCCTTCTCCTCACCTTCTGCCAGAGCTGGATCTTGAATCTGGTTTCTTAATCTCCTGCTGATCCCAGGCACCCTCGGTGGTCTACCAAGGGTGGATTCATTCAACCAACTTTGAACCCCTGTATCCCCAGCCTGCACCCCCTGTGGTTTCTGCTTTGTCATTCTGCTTCCTGTTCATCAGCTTCCATGCTTCCAGAGAAGCCTGCCTGGAACCAGACAGGACTTATCTATCCCTACAACGGTGTGAGCCACTTCTGGATAGAGCTCTCTCTCTTTCCAAAAACAACACACACAAGTGCCACTGACCTTGCTTCTCTATAGAACCACACCGATCATGTGGTGAGGGGGGTTCTGCTTTGGGGAGAACTCACGGAAAGGAAGACACAGAGGAGACTCGGCCACAGACCTAGGAATGAGAGGTCCCTCATTGTACACAAGGGTCACTGAAGTCTAGTACGGCGAAGGACCTGCACAGGCCACCAGCAAATCTGGGTGGGGCTGGATTCAGAGCTTGTACATCCTGCACCCAGTCCAGGGCTTTCTGCCTAGTATCGTCCCCGCTCTACTCCCATGGAAACCCCACTCAGGAGCCAGGGAGAGCCCAGTGAGGCAGTGGGGGACAAAAGGGCAGGGAAGCTCAGGGTCTCTGCCTTGCTGCCCAGCTGCCCAGCACACTCACCCACTGACTGCAGAGTGGCCACCAGGGTGCCTGCCGCAACTCCGCCCCCGTTGGCAACAGCAGCAGCCGACATCATTTTGGCAGCAATGGAGGAGGCCGCGATCCCCGCACTGGTGAAGCCCACGGCACCGAGCACCACGGGCACAGACGCCACGGCCACAACTAGGGGGTGGGGGGAGGGAGCTTTAATGTGGGGAAACTCCCTGATAGTTTCTGGGGAGGCCAGAGGGTGTGGACAGGCCACTGTGGCCACAGGGTAATAGAGGTGTGGGCTCCTCTTCCTGGTTTTGTCTCTAACTTGCTATGTGACACGAGGAAGTCTGTTGCCTTCCCTGTGCCTCAGTTTCTTTTCAGTAAATCCCAAATCAAACTCCAAGCCACGGAGTCCATGCCGACTCATAGCGACCCTACAGGATGGGGTAGAACTGCCCTGTGGATCTCCAAGGTTCCTCACGGGAGTAAAAAGCCCAGTCTTTCTCTGCAGGCTGGCAGGTGGTCTCCAAAGGTGGGCCTGGAGGTTAGAAGCCCCAGGAGTGAGGACCACTATGCCACGGGGAGGGGAAGAGAAGGGCATGAAATCAGCTATTTTTTTCCTAAAAGCACTTTTCACCCACAATACCCCCTGCCCCCACCCCCACCTGGCCCACATTTCCCGTGGCCATCTATTTAAGGACCGGAGGTGAAGCTGCAGCTCCCAGCTGCAGGCCTAGAGCTGCTTCTCCCTGGGCGTCTAGCTGCTGGCCTGGGCAGGCCCGGGGTGGGAATGGAGTGCCCATCTTAACTCCTGCCAGACTGGGTTTCCCGGTCCTCATGCCCGCCCAGCCAAGCCCACCCGGGAACCTTACTTCCTCCGATGGCAGCGAAAGCCACTCGCTCTTCAGGATTGCAGGTGGCGGTGGGGGGTCGGGGAGCAGAGGGAGGGGGGAAAAGGGTGAGTGAGTTAGGTAAGCAGAGAAGTGAAGGAAAGAAGTAAATGTTATTGTCCTCAGCACGACTCGCCCCCACCCCGCCCTGACCCCCCACCCCCACCCCGACTCCCACTCCCACCTCCTTTTCCAGAGGGGAAGCAGCTCACTCATTCCGTTCTTCTGCCGGACACCCAACGCAGCCCAGTAAGTGCAGGGCGGCTTCTTCTGAGGCCACGTCAGCCAATAGGGACAGGGCTCAGCCCCCAGTGAGGTGTTCCTCAGGACGTGCCCCACCCCTTGCGTCCAGCCTTGAGCTCTGGTCCCTTCCCCTCAAGGGATGCTCCCAGCAGCGGATGCCCCAGCGCTGCAGATCAGCCTCCTGGGGTGTTTCCCTCAGTGGGTGGGTCCCTCTCCCGAGTGCACCCCTCCTCACGAAGGGTTGGAAAGCTCCGAAGCCCACAAAAATGGACCGCAGTTCCAAAGTCAGTGTGTTAACATGATGGTGAAACGAACTCCCTTTCTCCATCCCTCGCCCCAAGCTCCAGAGCGACAAATGCCTTTCCCAAAGAGGTTAGCCTTGAACAAGAGCTGGCTGTTTGTGAGCACTTAGGGCGGCTGCTCCCGTAGGTCAAAACATCTCTGTTCTCGCCATGCTACAGGCATGACCGTCAGCTTTTTCTTAAAGACAGCTTTACCGGCATATCATTCATAAAGCATACAATTCCACAGTTCAATCTCACCAGAGGAGTTGTAAGATATGAAAATAATAATAATTTATCATCTATCAAGGGTACAGGAGGGTGAGGGAGGAGGAGGGAAAAAACAGGAGCTGATCCCAAGGGCTCAAGTAGAAAGAAAATGTTTTGAAAAGGATGATGGCAACGTATGTACAAATGTGTTGGATACAATGCAGGTATGGATTGTTATAAGAGCTGTAAGAGCCTCCAGTAAAACAACAACAAAAGAGTTGTACGATCATCACCACCATCGGTTGTGGAACGTTTTCTTCATTCTTCTACTCATTATTGCTCAAGGTGTTTACTCTGAGGCGGGCTCTGCTCCACCTGTGCTTGTCCTGGGGCGCAGCCTGATGGGGTGGTGGTCTCAAGATTTGTTCATCTTGTTCTGCTTTATTGATTCCTTTTTTAAAACCACTTTTATTGGCACATAATCCACAAAGCATACAATTCCATACTTTAATCCTATCAAGAAAGGTTGTACAATCATTGCCACAATCAATTTTAGAACCCTTTCTTCTTTCTTGTACTCATTAGTATGGACTCCCTATTTCCCCCCTACCACTCCTACCATACCCACAGGAAGCATTAATCCAGTTGCTGTCTCTATAGATTTACCTATACATGTTAAAATGATGATGAAACTAACGCCCTTCCTCTACCCCACACCCCAAGCCCCAGAGCGACAGATTCCTTTCCCAAAGAGGTTAGCCTTGAAGAAGAACTGCTCCTGTGAGTCTCTGAGTCTGAAAATCTTCACAGGAGCAGAAAGCCTCATCTTTACCCTATGGACCTAGTGGGTGGTTTTGAACTGCTGACCTTGCAGTTAGCAGCCCAAGGTGTAACCACTAAGCATTGATCCTGCCGTTAGTTTAGCCAATGGTATAGAATTTAAAACACTGTTGAGAAAAGGAAATTATCTGAGAATAGGCCAGCTATGAGCCACAATACATGCACTATGGACTTCTACAGACTACACGAACAACGGGAATTGGTGATAGGCCACATCTTCCAATACTAGTCATTTACAAGAGAGCTTCGCCCCCGAGATGAACATGTCATCATGAAGCAAGGGGGGCCTTGCAACAGGAAGTGCTTGGGAGTTCTAGGCCACCATGCATTGGCCACCCTCAAGGGAAGAGATTAAAACCAAAGCCCAACATCTGCCAGTTTCATGCCCTTGGCATTCTCCCACCAGGGAGTTCCAGCCTCAGGTCCATCGGCTACAGGTGAATTTAAGGCAATGTCCAGTTCACTTAGCGAGGTTTCTGCAGAGTCCTGGTGTGGCCTATGAACCATGTTGTGCACCTCGAAAGAACAGTCTAAGTCCCAATAGTCTACAGCGCAGCAACTGGTGAACTGTGGCTTCTAAGAAACATATCGGAAACCTCTGTGCTCCAAACTCTTTGCAAGAATTCTTCGTGTGGTGGGGCTACCAGCTTGCAACAACCAAAGGGCCAGAAGGCGCAAATGCACGGCGATGATTTATAAAGATTATAGTTGTTAGGTCTTACAGAGACAAGAGACAGAGTGAGACCTTTAATGAATAGATTTACTGAGGGAGGTGAGGTTTGTAGGGAACAAAGGAAATGAGGTGAAAGTTTAGGGTAGCCAGATAAAGAAAGGTTAGAGCTGGCTCGTTGTCTAAAACCAGGGAATTAGTTACCCTAAAAGGAATAGAGACCACGAGAGCTGCTATTATAGACGAAGAGAAAATTAGGTTTCATACAGACCCACTAACAAACTACAAAAAAATAAAGGAGTCAGACACATTTTTTTTTTCTTAAAAAAAAATCATTTTATTGGGGGCTCATATAATTCTCATCACATTCCATACAGACGTCCATTGTGTCAAGCACATATGCACATTTGTTGCCCTCATCATTCTCAAAACATTTGCCTTCTATGATAACGTTTTCTTGTATGAATATTGCTTCTAGGATTATAGAAAATACAGAACCTTGATTAATTAATATATTAATAAAATACTTACTTTCCTAAGTTGAAGTGGCTTAGTGTGCTCAGTAGAAACTCAATGGTAACCTCAAAACATT